GACTACGCATGTCACAACCCCTTCTTCATTACCAGTGTCTGTCACTCCTATCCCAACCTCTTCTTCGTTACCTGTGTCTGTCGCGCATGCGTCCTCGTCAGTCTTAGTAAACCCTTCTATGTCGTTTGTGACTTTAACTGCCCCTTTTCGGTTCGCAGCCTCTTCCTCACCGGCCTTGGTTGCTTCTATGATTGATTCCGCGGGAGCAACTCGACCCGCACGTGCTGTGTCGCCCTTGGTCTCGGTGTATTCCTCCATGGCATCCGTGGCCACCACAACTGCTGTGTCGCCCTTGGTCTCTGTGTGCTCCTCCATGGCATTCGTGGCCATCGCAGTTGCGGCGTCGCCCTTGGTTTCGGTGTGGTCCACCATGACATCTGTGTCAATGCCTACATTACGGCCTGCAGAGTCCCCTCTTCGGGTCTCACCTATGACTGCCCCCCCTGTCTCTGCTGCAGCCACGTCACCACCCCTGACTTCATCACTCCTACCTTCATCAACCCCGTCCTCGCCGTCGTTATTTCCCTTGGTTTTATCTCCATCTGTTACCCACCTTCCGGCGACTCTACCACCCCTGTCTCCCTGGTTTTGTCTCCATCCGTTACCTCTCTTCCTAATCCACAAACCACTTCGTCCATACAGACTCCGTCATCATGTTCTGCCCCTGTAGAAAGTCTGCTTCGCCATCCTAGACGCCGACTTCGGCCTACTTTCCAACCTCAGCTTACTCCCATTTTCTCCATCTCTGTTCTTGGCCGAAGAAGAACCCGTTCATTCTCCCTACCACGGCCTCCCCAACATCCCGTCCCCGTCTTTTACTGCCCCAAACATCCTTACCACGCCTATGACGCTTTTCGACTGCAAACCTTTCCGCAATGCGGCAAACACAAAATAGGAGGCATGATGGCGAGGGACCATCCGAGGATGCACTTGGCAAAGGGACTGTAGGAGATTCTGTGAAAATCCGCCTGACTGGACTCCACCGAATCTGTGTATCCTCGCTGCTACTAACATCTGCTTACAAGCCTATCATCAGAAACCATATACTCACTCTGATTTTTTGGCCATTGCTTCCGATCTTGATGCTTAGGAACATGAGTTATATGTCGATAACCCAACTTCGCATCCCCCGCAAGATAGTAATAACACTCCAAATGGGGGATTCAATGTCTCTGTTTTGGAGACTGCTTTGATAAGGTGCCGACTTGATATGCAGCGTGCCCCTTCGGGTGGCGACCCGTACCACTGTTCTCACGTTTGTGTCTATATTCAACATGCGCCTTGCCACTACACCTCTCTTGTCCGTGACTCTGGTTCTTAGGAATTATGGAATAACGGTGCTATGGTGCAAACTATTACTGCCATATGTGATCTCATGCGTAATTACCCTAATCTGCAACTGTTTAAGGTCATTAACCCTGTGGGCACCTCGTGTACTTGCATGCCCACCTCTACCCCTATCTCTGTGCCTGCCTCCGTATCTGTCTCTGTGCCTGTTTCTGTGTCTGTCTCCTTCCAGATGACTGATACTATAGGTACGTCGTGTACTTCCGTCCCCGCCTCGGCACCTGTCTCTGTGCCTGCCTCTGCACCTGTCTCCATGCTTGTTTTATGTGTCTGTCTCCGTGCCTACCTCCATGTCTGTCACCGTGCCTACTTTAGTCTTCATTCCCCCACATGCTGCACTAACACCTTGTGACCTCCTTCTTTGTGAGATCACTGACACAGTTACACTTGGTTGTGGAAAGCATCGACTTTGTCGACGTCACTATAACTGTATAATTTTTCGGGCCCGCTGTCGGCAGGGATGTCACCTGTATCCGGATTGTGAACGTCCCTACATCCAGGTGCAGTATGTCTCATCTGTGTCTGCGGACGCTATAGCGAATGTGCACCTAACTGTGATGGTGAACGCCCCACAATGGCCATGGCCTGCAACCAGCATGCTCTCTGTCATGCATGCTTCAGAGGTATGGTTAATGCTAGCCGCCCTGGCTCCTGCTGAGACGAAGTTGCTTACCTGAATGATTTTCGTCGTGTTGATCAGAGGGAGGGCTGCTACCATCGCCCTCATCCTTATGACAGTTGTCCTATCTATCGTGAGAGTCTTACTTAGACATACCTTGCACCTTGACAAAAATGTACAGTTGCGCTGAAGAGGGAGGGCTGCTACCATCGCCCTCATCCTTATGACAGTTGTCCTATCTATCGTGAGAGTCTTATTTAGACGTACCTTGCACCCTGATAAAAATGTGCAGTTGCGCTGAAAAGAGTGTACAAGAATGTGCAAAGATGGGGATTAGTGAAAAATGTAGTAAAAGAAGAACATAAGTTTGTGTTATTTTACATTGTTTGTACCCTGCACCCAAACACCCTCAAAGGAAAAGTCCGAAGGGTGAAAATGAGAATGAAAAATGAAGAAGTGCAGGTGAAATGAAAACCGAACGTGGTAGAATCTTCACAAAAATTGCAAAACTGTGAAAGAAACAAGAATGCAGTCATATGGTTGACTTGTTGTTGCTTATTGCTCACAGACTGAGGCTACTGCCTCTAACATTTCTATGATTTAGTTGTTCTGCTTTTGGTTGTTCTTAGGACTTATACACTAGTCAGCTTTTTCCAAACTGAGGCTATTGCCTCCAACATTTTACGACCTAGTTGTCATTACTGTCTGCTTTCCTAGGACATGTATGCTAGTTAGTTGTTTCTGCTTTCCTAGGATATGTATGCTAGTTAGTTGCTTCTGCTTTCACTTAGGCTGTTAGCCGTGGCATTGCTGTTTTGTGACATTTTCTATCCTAGGCTGCATCGCATGGACTTACCATGGAGCTTGCTCCGCATCCTAGACTACTCAGGTTTTCTTTTTCTTTGGTAAAGTTCCGCTGCTTGGCGGAAGCGTGCTTGTATCTATGCGATGATCCATCACAGGCCGAGGATTGTGTAGCAGACCTCTAGTTGGTCTGTGAGACCATCCCCTGGCCTGTGCTCACAGGCCTGTGTTCTATTCGGGGCAGTCCAGTCCAGGCCGGTACCTCTGTCGGTACCAGCCAGTCCAGTCCACTCACGTCAGTCCGCTGAGGTGTACCCCAACAGTTGTCTGTTTTTCTCATCATTCTACTTCTGCGCACTTTGGAGTACGTGCGTTGAAGTCTGTCGTGGGAGCTGCGTTGTGCCATCTCGCTCCCCCTCCTTCCTCCATCTCCATCTCTATCTCTGGCGGAGCAGCACTCCTGGTGGGTCCGCCATAATACCTGTCCAAATGATTCTCATTCTTTGTTTCTTTTGATTTTTTTTTTCTCCAAGCTACCCTGAACTCGAGAGAAGTAAGAGTAGTTGAAAGCTACTTGCAGTGGACACATATTTTTTCTTCAGAAAGCATCTGGGACGGGGGTTCATTGCTTTAGGAGCCAACCCTGTTATCAACCCAGAGTGGACCGTTCTGCGGGGGGGTACATGTCGATTCGATGGAGGCGGCCCAACTTCCGAGATCCGAGTTTTGTGCTCGGAGGACGAGGAGGAATACCCCCGACCACTTCCTAAAGGGAGAGGCATGCAACACTTCAAACAACGCTCCTGATCAAGAATCATCCGCAAAACAACATGTCATCCAAGAAGATTGAGAAAAACTAAAGACAACTATGTGTGTCGAATCTTAGGTCGGGTGTAGGCTGGAATGAATGCTTTGGCAACGAGTCTCATCAAGTTAAGACTAAGGCAACCGACTACCTTGTCGACTACATTTATATTATTATCGATAGTCAACTTCTTGTTGGCAGTTGTACGATTGTTTTGTGATATTCGATCTGAGGTGGTCAAATTGTTTTTGATCTTATGTTGTTGAATGTATCAAATGATGATTTGGATTATCCCAGTTATTACTTTGGATTGGATGTAGATTCTTATCGGTTGCGGTCAACTCTTTTTGATACAAGTATGGATGGTTATTATAACTTTGTTTTGGCTATGTGTCTAAAGGGACTGAGATAATCTTGGGTTTTACGGTTGGTTGAGAACGTCCTAGTCGACCGGCGTCCGCTTCGTACTTAGGAGATCAGCGCCCTAAAGGACGGACAACGTTCGGGTCCGCTTGGCGTTAACCAAGCGTATCTATACTACAGCGAGCGAGCAAATATCATCGGCTGACCTACCTCTACAATTGCATGTAAAAGCTTTCGCACGTGGGTCAGTAGCTTGGTACGGATACGCCCTTAAGGGTGGTGACAACCCCTTAGGGAAGCAAGCTTATGCCCCTTGGGAACCTATCCTGTCGTAGGGGACCGCGGGATGTACAGCTGGCGCACCCGCCTAGAACGACGAAGCGAGAACGCGACTGCGCCCTTGGTACGGATACGCCCCTAAGGGTGGTGACAACCCCTTAGGGAAGCAAGCTTATGCCCCTTGGGAACCTATCCTGTCGTAGGGGACCGCGGGATGTACAGCTGGCGCACCCGCCTAGAACGACGAAGCGAGAACGCGACTGCGCCCGTTTTGGCGGTTCATGGGATTATTATGTGTCCTTCCCGAATTGTCTCTCATTTTGTTTTTTCTTGTTTAACTACTGCATGACATGGTCGGGAGGGCTCCCGCGCTTTGCAAAAGGCAGGGGCCGATGCGCTTGCCAGCGTGTCCCCTTCCGAGTTGGCCACCTCTGCCTTCGTCGGGGCTGTCTTGCTTTTTATGTTGCGACTGTCCACGTGGCGGCATGTTGTGCAGTCGGATGTCGCCTCTTCTAAAACGAACAGCGAACGAAAGTGCTCCTTGACGTAGACGCCACGACGGAGAGACCGCTGATCACTCGCCTGCAGAGACAACAATGGACGCATTTGTCGACATACCGGACTTGCACTTCACCGGCGACCACGATGAGATCGTCGTGCGACGAAGGACGACAATGAGGCAGGAGAAGACATACTCGTCGGGGCGCCCTGCACATGCTGTGAAGCATACCCGCGTCAGTCCTTTATAGTGGCTGCGTGATCAATCCATGCCTCGACGCGCTTCCGACGGGATGGCGTTTATTTCATGGGGTTGCGCAGGCGATCAAAACCTTTTTTCACCTCCATGACGACCTACCACCCGAAGCCACCCTTCCGCATTACAAAAAAGTTCCCGCCCCTCGCGCTTCCCACCCCAATTTGCAACGAGTCCTCTCGACCTCCCCCACCTCCCCCTCCTTCCTTCTTGCCTGGTGATCGGTTCGTCCATCACCCCCGACTCCTCGAGTCCTTGCGTGCGTGGTTGTTTCTTGATGCTCTCTCTCTCTCTCTCTCTCTCCTTCTCTTTTTTTTTTTCTCTTCTGAAAAAACATTATGTATTATACACACTAAACTAAATGTATATACATACGTAGACGAACGTGTCACTGGAGCAAAACAAGCGACGACCGCATCGCCTGTAGATTCACGGACAGGAAGACCGCCGCAGGAGTAGAGGCGGAATCAAGACCTGTCCCTGATGGCTTCGGCGATCTCCAGTAATGTAGTGCACATCAACCTGTTCACCTCATCGGACGCCTCGTAGTGCCACTGCTGGGCATCAACCTCACGCTCGAGTATGTCGCACTGCCACTCCAGAATGAAATATTGTCGCTTGCTGGGCCCCTCGACGGTGTCAACCATTAATGCGCAGTGTTTGTCAATTACTTCATCAATGGCGTCGAATGTCTGTTGGCGTATGTTTTTCCTCTTGTAGTTCCCTCTCATGCTGCCTGCACTGAAGCCAGACTCCCGCGCCGAGGCTCCATCGTCGTTGTTCCCATCACCCCCGATTGTCGATTCTCCAACAACGGATGGGGAATGTGACATCTGCACTCCTCCACCGGCGCTTGTGTCGGGGTTGTTGTCTGGGTTAACGGTCTTGTTACCCTTCGACATGGTGTCTATCTCATCATATATGCGCTTCTCTATTCCGAAGCCTTCTTCCATTTTCAATGCAGGTGTGAGGTTGAAGAATTTCTTCCCCCCAGAGGCGTTTTGATACCGTTGCACTTTCTTGTATTGCTGGAAGAGGTTATCCCACTTCTTGCCGATGTCGTCTGTCGTCCTGCTTACCCCCACCTCCAACAAATGCTTTGGCAGGTCCTGCAGCTTCCATTCCCTGTTGTGCATTCGTCCGTAGTTGTGCGACATGCCCTCGAAATGAGCTTGCTGATCCCTCTTCGCTCGGGCGAGCTTGAGCATCTCCTCAACACTCCAGAACGGATGTTTCCCACCCTTCTCGCCTGCCGGACCCTTCGAGCAGCAACCACCACGGGAAACAGTCTTCTCTTGATGCACGCCTCCACCCCTTCCTTTACCACGCAGAGGCAGGGGTCGAATCTCCATGACGTCCACGTCTTCCGCTTCCTCTTCGCAAAGAACATTTGAAGATTCGTAATCGCTCACCCGTTTGGAGTCTTCCACATTCGGTCATTCACTCACCACACGCATCCTTGACACCCCATTTGTTAGGTTCTCCACAAGCATTTGACGCATTTGTCGCTGACATGACTCCCACACCTGCCTGCCACCTTCCTCCGATCCGGCAACGCTTATGTTCGCCGCCGGTGAGGGCATTGTCTGCCGCGTTGTAGTCAAAGGCGATGTCGAAGGGGGGGGAAACGACATCCTCAGCATGTCACTGGATGATCCGGCACCCCGAGAAAATGAAGGCGGCGGACGACACCCATTAGGGCTCGCATCTTGCGGACAGGACCTTGCACCATGCACACTCGATCCGCCGACGCTCACGGCAGGCACTGGGTTGAATGTCCGAGTGTGTAGCTGCTGCAGCACTCGCGCTTGACAACCCAAAATCCAAGTCCACAATCTCCGTATCGCCTCCACGACACTTTCCTCTAGCAAAGCAGAGGAATGAAGACTTGTCACAGCCTCCTATTGTCTACAATGGCTCCCCATCCAGTCTTGCGCCGATGCGCTCCCCAGAGATAGGTGTGGGACAGAGCATCCACCCATTGCTCTTCCGGATCCGACGGTACCGGCTGCTCATGAGGCAGGAAATGACTGTACAAAGTCGGGTCATGCCTCGACCGTCGCTTCTAGACCGACGTACTCAACGACGCCCCCCGGTTGTCTGTTGGAGGCTTCACACCTGTCCATCGCCGTCTTCCTCAAAGATCGTTGTTTCCCTCCGCTGTGAGGACCCCGCACAACGACACACACGTGGGACAACACGACAACGAGCAGGAGAAGAGTGGCCAGCAGCAGGAGAGGGAACCGTCAGAGGACGTCTTCCATGAATCGCAGCATGTGAGGCGTGTACCAACTCCTTTAACCCAAGGGACCTCGAATCCAAGGACGTTTTGGCTGGGGATTCCGAGGAACCCAAGGAAATCTCTCGGGAGCGTTTTCACATTCGTTCAAGGGATTTGGCGGATTCGGACACGGTGTAACGACACCGATTTCCTAAAAATTGGATTTCCATGGAGGGTCTAACAAGGCCCTAAAGGCCAGATCCCACTGGCAAAGAGAATTGGAATAAGTGTTTGGATCAGGACCTGTTCCACGCAGAGATGCAGAAAAGCAGAGCAATTACAGTTTTTTGCACCTCTCCACAAACACGTCCAGATTCAGCGTCTTTTCTTTCCTCGAAAACTTGGCTTTATAGCAACAAGTCTCCTTTCAAAAGGCCCATCCTTTTCGCACTGGTGACTAAAAAATATACATGTACTAACACCCCATGCTCCTTCCCATTATGGTTTGGGAGGCCCTGGTGCAACATCATTGATTGCTTCCTCCCTTCGTACGGCGCTCCTGCAGGCACTTTCTAACAAGCTGGCAAGCTGAAATTATCTCCCAGGAAATTGACTGGGGAATGAAGACATGACATGAGAAAGTGTCCCGCCCGTGTACCTTCTGCTGCAAAATATTCAAATCAGAACTTGAGAGTGGCACATGCCACCAAAACTGGGCCTCCAGTACCTTTCCAAGCCATTTTTCTACTATGGGGCAGTGCACACACCGTGTCGTGTGAGCTGTCCCAGCCTTTTGAAAATTTGAGATACCGGGGCCATTATATTATTCCAGGCAAAAGAAATCACGAGCATGGCCTCTTTTCCGTGGATGGCTTTTTGTGCGAAAGGGCAGGGCGGTACACTCTGCCAGACTTGGCGAGTGAACAATACTCATGGTTGGGAGATCACAATTGAGCCTCTCTACAGATTTCGGGCTTGGGGAAGGCCCTATTGTGCAGCAGGGGAGTAACTTTGTGGGCCCATTGGAAAAGGGAAAATGGGCCTCTTGTTCTCCGCCTGGTTCAATCTCGCAGCCCGTTGAGAACAAACACCGTGAGAGTGTACTCACACTAGGACTATTCTCACTCGTCTCCGGACGCAATTGCAGTCAGATACATCCAGCGCAGAAAGAAAACGAGCATGGAAAGGATTTATCTTGTTTTTCTTGTTCTACCCCCCACTTTGGGGTCTGATCTGACAGTATTTATGCCACGCAGTTTCGGGTGTTGTCTGGGATCCCACTTCTTTCTGCCTGAGTGGGGTGCTGTACCGCTTATGAAAGGAAGTGGCAATCTTTGTGGTCATGGCGGCACCAGCGCGATCGTCGCCACCCGCTTCCAAACTCCAAAAGCAGGCGATCCCTACCCTGCCACGAAAAAGCATGAGCTCAATTCTTTTTTCTGTTTTTTTTTTCTTCTTGTATCCACCCCTTCTCTTGATTGGAATGAGCTGCAACATCCCACCACCGGCTTTGTAAATACTCCGTTGCCACGGCGTTGGGCGCAGGCCTGTCGGATTCCATTGTTTTTTCCACGTTCCGCGCGGTTTGCTTCCAGCTTTCTCGTTTGTCTTTTACGAAAGTCAACGACTGTCCGATCAGCCCCTCACTCATCTCAGGACGCAACTGCAGTCAGATACAGCACAAAAAGACACCCACCGTAGGAGGAATCTACCTCCTCCCCCCCCCCCCCCCCCCCATTTTTCCTTCGATTTGCTGACAGAACATCCCCCATTCTCATGGCTCTTTCACGTTACGAGGCTAGGGCGGCGGGAGCATTCCGCTGCGGTCAGATACATCCAGCACAAAAAGAAAATGAGCAGGCGAGGAATGTCTGTTTTTCTGTGTGTGTGTGTTTTTCCCCCTTCCTTCATTTGTTTTGCTGGGAAAATGTTCCCACTTCTTTGCTCTTTTGAGAGGTTGGGGTGGCAGGTGAGTGAAACCAGCAACCTCCCTTTTGTTCCAGGTGCTGGCAGCTGGTCCAGTACAGAGGCTGGTACCAGTACCGCCTTCACTTTTCTGAGAAGAGCCATGGTGGTACTGGTTGCACTGCAGCTCGGCAAAATTCGAAGTTGGGTTTGTCGATTAAACCACCAGTACCTACCGGTTGTCAAGGCCCGACCCGACATTAAAATTTCTTTACAATAAATGTGAACAAAATAAAATAAAAAACAAACGACAAAACAAAGAAAACTTCCAAAAAAACAAAAGGAAGAAGGAGAATGAAATTGAGAAAAACGGACTGCATCGCGCCGTGTGTGTGTGTGTGTGTGTGTGTGTGTGTGNAGAGAGAGAGAGAGAGAGAGAGAGAGAGAGAGAGAGAGAGAGAGAGAGAGAGAGAGAGAGAGAGAGAGAGAGAGAGAGAGAGAGAGAGAGACGAAAAGGGGACAGAGATTAACGCCGTTCACTGCGCAGTGGCGCAGCAAACGCACCGTTTTTGGCTCTCTCTCTGTGTGTGTGTGTTTGTGTATGCCCCCCCCCCCTCCCTCTCCCCTCAAGCACTAGACGTGAATGAACCATTCCCTATCATTGGGGAAGATTCATTCGGTTTCCACACGAGGAGGGGTTGTCTGTTCGAAACAGAATTAATCTTCCCCGATAATGGGGAATGGTTCATTCACTTCAAGTGCGTGAGGGGAGAGGGGGGGGCGCATACACAGAGAGAGAGAGAGAGAGAGAGAGAGAGAGAGAGAGAGAGAGAGAGAGAGAGAGCCCGGCTGCACTCTGTCGAAATGTGCAAAACGAGAGTGAATCTTCCGCTAGAACATGGAAAGATACACCGCCATCGGCGCCATGATGCCTTGTTGTATGTTTCGACAGTCGTGACGCCGGCAGTCTCGGGCGGGCTGCGCAGAGCACCCCGCACAGGCCGCCGAGACTCTCTCTCTCTCTCTCTCTCTCTCTTTTGCACGCGCAACAGATTCTCAAGTTCGGTTTTTTTTTTTTTTTTTTTTTTTTTGAAGCGGCCAGGCATTGGCTTGCCCAACCCCTGAAAGTCGCGGCGCGTTAATGGCCGCGACTTCGAAAAAACAACGGGGAGGTAATGGTGGTCTAAGCCTCGGATGTACTGGGGGTCCAAATTGAACTAAAGCACACAACCAGCTAATATAGCATGATGCAAGGGGCAAGGTCCCACCCACTTGACTGCATTCGTTGTACTGAAATGTAGGCTACAAAGATCTAGGGTCGCCAACGCACAAGCCAAGTACGTGAGAATTTATTTGTTTATTTATTTATTTGTAGATTTACTTTGGATCTTGCCAGAGACTTTTCGCTTGTGTCCTTCGACCATAGACAAATGAGATATACCAGGGGTTCCCTTGTGCATGCACCTGATATGAGCCTAGATCCACTACTCGACATACATGTATCTAGACTGTGGGGTGAACCAGAGGACCAGATGCATTCCAACTGGCGGAACATTTAGAATGTAGTGAGACCAGGATCAGCTCTACATACATTTGGAATGCTGTGCAGTGGAGCAAGGCCCTATGGGCCGCAGGCCACATGATGAGTCAAACATGGCATCAAAAGAGGCCTAGAAAACATACGGCCCTGTCCTGATATCGGCAACTACCTTTCTCAGGCTTTTGGCTAGCTCTTCTGATCAGATTAACAAAATAAAAAGAAACACACACACACACACGCACACACACTTATGGGCCTTGTCTTACTCTTCGCCATTCGCACAGAATGTGAAAAACCGACTGGCATGAGATGTTCAATTAAAACCTGTCAGCTCTTCCCTTGCAATACTGAAGAAAGCGTAGCGCAGGGGAGCAGCAGAATGTGGATCTACAACCGCAAACGAAGAAAGCGTACTGCAGGGCAGCAGCAGAATGTGGATCTACGACCACAAACGTAGAAAGCGTAATGCAGGGCAGCAGCAGAATATGGATCTACGACCACAAACGAAGAAAGCGTAGCGCAGGGCAGCAGCAGAACATGGATCTACGAGCACTTACAGAGAAAGCGTAGCGCAGAGGAGCAGCAGAACATGGATCTACGACCACAAACGAACAGGACAAAAGAGGACAAAAGAGGACAAAAGAGGACAAGAGGAAAGCTACCAAAGAGGAAAGCTACCCTTACAAAACGCCATCTGACAATTCGAGAAGCCAGCAAATGAAGAATGACTTTGTGGCCTTGGGCATTTATGGTGACTGCACAGACGTCTCTGGCACTGGGCAACAGGACCTAGGGGAGCATCTAAGGCAGCCGTTCTTCTCAGGATGTACTTGATCCCAAATGTAGCCACATTCTTTATCAGCCATTAAAGGGACTTATGTAACAAGTATGCATATAAGTTTTACTGACAACAAAATACCAGACCTTGCTTAAGCATACACCATAGCGATCTGTGCTGGCCCTTTCGCTGTCCACAATAACCCAGACGCGGGATACCACCAGCGGCCCTCCTACAAGAGACGAGGGCCACACTGCGCTTTTTTTTTTTTTTTTTTTTTTTTTTTTTTTTTTTTTTTTTTTTTTTTTTTTTTTTTTTTTTTTTAACACTTAGTTCATTGTAATCCCTCCATTCGTAGAAACATCAACCAAGAAACTTAAAAAAAATCTCTCTCAGAAATGTTGTCGTAGTTCGCCGAACAGTCTGGTTCCAGTCGGAAGCCGACTCTGAAAGGCCT